GATGAGGCCAGGCTGCTTCCACTGGTACTCAGACTGAGGTCCATAATGGGATGCAGCCAAAGGGAGGAATTCTTACCTGAGATAACAGGAGACCCTTGGGCCAGAAAAGGGGCAGAGCCAACACCTGAGCAGGAATGTTAAGTGCCAAAATTCCAGGAAGGAACTTAGAGCAAGTGACATTATTGGAGAATTGAGCTGTGGTGAGCATTTCAATTAAGAGGGTGGATTCAGGAATTTGGAGCCAGTCAGATAAAGGGATAACAAATATTTACTCAATCAACAGATATTTATTTGAATAACGATAAGCACTATTCTAGCCCTTTGGTGATGCTTAGGTGAAGAAGACAAAATTAACTGTCATTATGGAGATGACCCTGATCAAACTAGATGAGAGGACTGTAGCTTGCTATCAGGAGCCAACCAAGAGGTCTGTGTGACCCACTGACCTTACCTAAAGAGATAGAGGTGACACAGACACTGGCCACTGCAGACAAGACAGCGGGAGGGGCACCACTTGTGGGCCTGAGGACTGCCTTGTTCTTTGGGATTCTTTTTTACTTGAAACTGGTATTACATTTTTTATTATTTTTAATTTTTTAAAAAAGATTTTATTTATTCATTTGAGACAGAAAGACAAAGTGGGCATGAGCAGGGGGAGAGGCAGAGGGAGAGGGAGAAGCAGACTCCCTGCTGAGCCAGGGAGCCCTGGGGCTCAATCTCAAGACCCGGAGATCATGACCTGAGCCGAAGGCAGATACAACCATCTGAGCCACCCAGGCACCCCAAAACTGGTATTACATTTTTTATAATTACATGTAGTACAATTCACTGTTTTTGGTGTATAAGTCTATGATTTTTTAACATATGCATAGATTCAAGGATAGATCAGAATAGAGAACAGTTTTGTCACTCCAAAAAATTACTTCAGGTTACCCCTTTGTGGCCAAACCCTCCTCCCACCCTCAACCACTGGCAACCTGTTCTCCACTCCTAGTTTGGCCTTTTCCAGTGTGTCATGTCAATGGATTCATACAGTATGTAGCCTTTTGGAATTGGATTCTTTCTCTGAGTGATAAATTTAGATTTATCCATATTGTATATATCCATAGCTCATTCCTTTTTATTGCCGAAAACTATCCTATTGTATGGATATTCCACCACTTTTTTATTATTTGCCTATGGATGGACATTTGCATTATTTTCCATTTTTGGCAATTTTTTTAAAAGATTTTATTTATTTATTCATGAGAGACAGAGAGAGAGAGAGGCAGAGGGAGAAGCAGGCTCCCAAGGAGCAGGGAGCCCGATGCGGGACTCGATCCCAGTACCCTGGGATCATGACCTGAGCCGAAGGCAGACGCTTAACCATCTGAGCCACCCAGGTGCCCTTTGGCAATTTTTTTTTTAAGATTTTATTTATTTATTTGTCAGAGAGAGAGAGAGCACACAAGCAGCAGGAGCAGCAAGCAGAGTGAGAAGCAGGCTCCCCGCTGAGCAGGGAGCCAGATGCAGGACTCCATCCCAGGACCCTGGGATCATGACCTGAGCTGAAGGCAGATGCCCAACCGACTGAGCCACCCAGGTGCCCCCGTTTTTGGCAATTTTGAATAGAGCTTCTATAAGGATCGACATCCCAGTTGTTGTCTGAACTTAAGTCTTCCTATTTCTCAAGTAGATACCTAGAATGGGGATCGCTGGGTTGTACGGCAAGTGTATGTTTGACTTTATTAGAAACTACCAACTGTTTTCCAGAGTGGCCGTATCGGTTTGCATTCTTACCCACAGAGTATGAGAGTTTCGGTTGCTGTACATCCTTGTCGGCACTTGGTATTTTCAGTTTTAATTGGGGGGGGGCACTCCGATAGATGTTAATGGTATCTAGTTGTAGATCTAATTAGCCTTTCCCTCATGACTAATGATGTTGAGCGTCCTTTCATGTGCTCTTGAGATTCTTGAGAATTAATAAACCCATACCCCAACTCAGAAACCAACCCACAGTGCTAAAGAGACTTCTGTGGATTCACGTTTGGCCCGACAGACTGGAACATTTTAGCAGCAATGCTCAGCAGATGACAATTGGATTCAAAGCACATATGCCAGGTCTGTCAAGCCAGCAAGCAGGCGGCAAGAGGCTCCTGGCTACTAAGCACTGTCTCCTCTGTTCCAGGCTTTAGGGAGAGAAAAACATTTCCTGCCTTTGCCTTCGGATGTCCTCCTTGTCAGACTCTACATCGTTCCTGCCATGGTTTTTCCCCTGGACCTCCTATTTAACATTCTCCCTTTCTTCTTTCCTTTGCTAAATAACTGTTTATTGAAAGCACACTGCGTGCCAGGCACTGCGCTAGGCTCTAGGGTCATAAAGTTGAAGAAGATGCTTACTCGCAATAGGTTCTCATTCTAATGGGGGGATTAGCATAAAGCAGCTTTTAATTTTTTTTCGAGATTTTATTTATTTATCTGTGAGAGAGAGCGAGCGCACACAAGCAGGGGGAGAAGCAGGCTCCCTGCTGAGCAAGGAGCCCTACGTGGGCCTCTATCTGAGGACCCTGGGATCATGACCTGAGCCAAAGGCAGACAGACACTTAACTGACTGAGCCACCCAGGCATCCCCCTAAAGGATGATTCTTAACCAGCCAGGAGTCAGGAGGGCTTCCTGGAAAAGGAAACACCTAAAAGGAGTCCTGAAGGATGGGTGGCTATTGGGCTAAGAGACACAAAGAGGGCATTCCAGGCAGAAGGGACAGCCTGAACAAAGGCCTGGCAATAAGAAATAGCATGCTGTGTGTGCACTTCTGTGAGAAGCTCAGTTTTACTCAGATCTAGGGATGGAGGAGTGGAGTGGCAGGTGATGGAGTTAAGGAAGGAGATGGGGCTGGATCATGGAGAAGCTTGCGCTGAGGCACTTGAATTTATCCCCAAAGCTATTAAAGTGCTTTTAAAAGCTAGGTTTTGGGGGTTCCTGGGTGACTCAGATGGTTAAACATCTGCCTTAGGCTCAGGTCATGATCTCAGGGTCCTGCTCAGTGGGGAGCCTGCTTCTCCCTCTCCTTCTGCCCCTCTCCTCCCCACCTGTCCCCTCCGCTCCTGCTCTCTCTCTCAAATGAATAAATAAAATCTTTAAAATAAATAGATAAATGAAAGCTAGGTTTTGGTGGGGCACCTGGGTGGACGTGGTTACGCATCCAACTCTTGATTTCTGTTCAGGTCATGATCTCAGTGTCTTGAGATGAAGCCAGTATGGGGCTCTATGCGTGGAGCCTGCTTAAGATTTTCTTTCTCCCTCTCTCTCTGCCCCCACCCCACCCACTTATGTGCTCTCTCTCTCTCTCTTAAAAAAATAAATAATTAATTAAAATAAAAGTTAGATGTTGGTTTTAGAAATGCCTTCCTTTTCTGCTCTGTTGATTCTCATTCATCCTTCAAGGCCCATCTCAAAGTCCACCTCTTCTTGGAAGTCCTCTCGGATCCCCCTAACCAGAAAGATTGGCTCCTTCCTGGGGCTCTTTGTCCTGCTTTGTACTTACTAATCAGTCTGCCTGGAGGGTGGGAACTATAATTTGTCCCACTTTGGGCTCCTCATGACACTTGACGGGGGGTCAACACAAAGAAGGTGCTAATAAATGTTTGATGAATGTGAATGAATTTGCGAATGGAGAAAGTTTTCTGGGCAGCCCAGCTCTCGAATCTGATTATACTAGTTCTCAAATTTAAACATGTGTCAGAATGACCTAGAGGGTTTGTGGATTCTGGTCTTAGCCTCCAATTTCTGATTCGTAGGTCTGGGAAGGAGAGGGGGCCTGAAAATGTGCATGTTGAACATGCAGAGTGAGTTCCCAGGCGATCATGATGCTGCTGGTGAGGACCACACTCAGGGAACCTTTGATGTGGCTGTGGTTACAATTCAGGCGCTCCTCACAGCCAAGCCGTGGGCCAGGCATTATCAAGGGGCCCTCGTTGCTGCTGCTTATCACAACCATCTGACCACCTGACCCTTCAGAGGATCTCTTCCTGGGATTTCCTTAGTCTTGCGTCTCTCCCACCCCTTGGAGCTGGAGCTGGGCATTAGAGTGCCCTCTCCTGGTTCTTTGCTCCCAGGGACTCCCCAAGGCTTCTCAGAGGAACCCTGGTCACATGGGTTCCTTTTTTTTTTTTTTTAAAGATTTTATTTTTTAATTGACAGAGAGAGAGACACAGCGAGAGAGGGAACACAAGCAGGGGGAGTGGGAGAGGGAGAAGCAGGCTTCCCGCCGAGCAGGGAGCCGGATGCGGGGGGCTCGATCCCAGGACCCCGGGATCATGACCTGAGCGGAAGGCAGATGCTTAACGACTGAGCCACCCAGGCACCCCTCACATGGGTTCCTTAACAGGCTTCTCTCCCACTAAATAGTTTCACCAGTGAGCCCCAGAGGACAGGACAAATCCTGCGTGTGATGTGTAAAGAAGCCTGGGATATAGCACAGCTCTTCCTAATAGGTTCAGGAAGGGGTCTTGTCCCCTTTAAGAGCCACTGCTTCCTGGGACTCTGCAGCTCCCCATCTCCCTCTCCCAGGGTGGGAAGGAACTGCTTAATTAACAGCTCCACTTCCTGCAGCACCTGGGGCTTCCCCTCCCCTGAGCTCCTACCACTTCCCTTTGGGCTTCCCAGGTCAATTCCCTACCAGGGCTAGGTGATGGTCCTCAGCCCTCCGCTGGGGGAGGCTGAAGGCCAGAGACTGGCCTGGTGGGGCCACAGGGAAAACTGACTGGTGCAGAGGGGCAGCCCTGGGGGTAGGAGCAGGGGGATTTCCTAAGGGAAACTATCATTTGATTGGCCAGTTTTCTCTCCTTCTTTGAGTGTTGGGTGTCTGGGTTCTCTGCAAGACTGTGAAACCCTGTGACTACCCAAGCGGGAGCCTTGTAGAGCTCAGGGATGCAATGTATTGGGCTAGGTCTGCTCAAAGAGGCCTTAGAATCCTTCTGGGCTCCTCCAGTGCCGTGCAGCTCTGCCGGCAGCCCCAGATGGAGTTGCAACCCGAGCAGCTGGTGGGCTGTCTATCCCCAGGTCCAGGGCCAACAGTGAACACACCTTCATTGCCTCAAGCCTGATGGGGTCCAGTGCAGCCTCTTGGGAGAGATCATCAAGCGTTTTGAGCAAAAGGGATTCCTCCTCATTGCTATGAAATTAATTCAGGCTTCAGAAGACCTTCTCAAAGAACACTACATTGACCTGAAGGACCGACCTTTCTTTGCTGGCCTGGTAAAGTACTTGCAATCAGGGCCTGTGGTTGCCATGGCCTGGGAGGGGCTGAATGTGGTGAAGACAGGCCAAGTGATGCTCGGGGAGACCAACCCTTCGTACTCCAAGCCTGGGACTATCCATGGGGACTTTTGCATCCAAGTTGTCAGGAACATTACCCATGGCAGCGATTCCACATAGAGTGCAGAGGAGATTGGCTTGTGATTTTGGCCTGAAGAGCTGGTGCATTAGAAGAGCTGTGCTCAGAACTGGATCTGTGGGTGACAAGAGAGCAGACCTCAGTGCTTTGCCCACTCCATTCCCTCTCCCTCTCATGGGCGGGGTGCCAGGCTCTAGCAAATCCAGTTATTTTTGAGAACTTCCTTATAATCTGGAGGGGAACTGGGAGCGCTCTCTGTTCAGTATTATGTGCTACCATCAGATTAAAATGTTTCATTCCTCCCACCCCCACCCCCCCAAAAAAAGAGAATCCTTCTGAGCTCAGCTTAGACCTTGGAGGCCTTTGTGAATTTAGTAAAGAGAGTTGATTTCTGCTGGTGGTGTCTGCCATAGGACAGAAGCAGAGAACCCCAGCAAGGAGGTGAGAGAAACTCTGGAGAGACCCCTTTAGAAGACTGATCCTTGGAAAGGCTTTGTGTTTGGACATAACTGAGAGCCTTTAGGGGCTCAGGTGTGCCAAGGATCCTCCAAAGAACATGATCTAGACAGTAGGTCCCAGTCCCAGCCCAGGGAGTCACATTGCCAAGAGGCCAGGGGGCCCTCTGCATTTGTACCAAGGATTCCAAGTGGTTTATGTTTAAATTTAAAAATATATATCATGAAAATCTTCAAACCTATAGAAAAGTTATACAGCTACCTCTCTAGACTATCATTCTGATTTAACTCTACTTGCTTCATCACATACCCATTCATCTACCCATCCTTCTTGTCATCCATCAATCCATTATTTTTTGAGAATTTCAAAGAAGTTGCAGACATCAGTATACTTCCTGTAAATACTACAGCGTGTACTTCATTAAATAGGAATCATATTGATTTATGAACTTTTTCTTTCGAGATAAAATTTACATGAAATGAAATGACTAAATCTCAAGTGTACATTTGCTACGTTTTAACAAATACGTATGCCTGTGTAACCCAAATCCCTATCAAGATATGGAACATTGCCAACACACCAGAAAGTTCCCTCAAACCCCTTCCCAGTCAATCCCTGCCCTCGCTCCCACCACCACCACCACCACCACCCCCAGAGGTTACCACTATCCTAATTTTTATCCATCATAGACTGTTTGCTTGTTTTAAAACTTTATATAAATGAAAGCATATAGTGTATACTATTTTGTGTAAAGCTTCTTCAACTCAGTGTAATGTTTTTGAGATCTATCCATATTGGTGCAGTTTGTTCCTTGTGATCACTGAATAATATTCTATTGTGTGAATGTACTGCAGTTTATTTATCCATTTTTCCAATTGATGAGCGTAACTATTACAGCGATTGTTATGTTAATGACATAGGAAATGCCTATGCTATTCTTTTTTTTTTAATGCCTAAGCTGTTCTATTTTTTTTAAAGATTTATTTATTTATTTGAGAGAGCGAGAATGAGAGAGAGAGAGTACATGAGAGGGGGGAGGGTCAGAGGGAGAAGCAGGCTCCCCGCTGAGCAGGGAGCCCGATGCAGGACTCGATCCCGGGACTCCGGAATCGTGATCTGAGCTGAAGGCAGTCGCCCAACCAACTGAGCCACCCAGGCGTCCTATGCTGTTCTATTAAGGAAAAAATTTCACATACAAAATTTATATACAATATGATCCTAACTGTGTGAAGAAAATAATTCATAGGAAATATGCTTATGTTAACAGTGAGCTTTGCTATGCTCTAAAAACTTTTTTATTAATTAATTTTATTTTATTTATTTTTATAAATAATTATAGATTCACAAGAAGTTGCAAAGGCAGTACAAAGAAGTCCTATACACTTCATCCATTGTCCTCAGTGATTACATCTTACATGACCTAGTACAATATTAAAACCAGAAAAATGTCATTGCTATAAAGTGTGTGTATAATTCAGAATCATTTTATCAGGTGTGTAAATTTATGTAATCACCATCACCTCTAAGATGCAACCCTTTATAGCCACACCCATCTCCTCCCCGACCATCCCTAACCCTTTGCAACCACTAACCTGTGCTCCATCTCTATAATTTCATCATTTTGAGAATGTTCCATAAGTGGAATCATGCAGTATGTGGCCTTTTGAGACTGTTTTTTTTTCACTCAGCATAATGCCCTTGAGACCCATCAAAGTTGTTAAGTGTTATCTGTACTTCATTCCTTTTTATTGCTGAGTAATATTCAATGGTATGGATAACACCCCTCCCCCCCACACTTTTCAAATTCCTACTGAGCATGAGATGTTTTAATTTTTAGGAAAAAAGAAAAGTACTGATGGGAGGGGGCAATGCATAGAGAAGCAGTTCACGCCTTCAAGGAAATGTGTTGAATTAAATAAGAGAATTTTAGGCTTGGGATGCCCTTGGCAGTCACCTAGGTAAGTTTTTTATTTTGCAGGAGTCCTCCTTGCAGTCCTGGCAGGTAGTTGTACAGCCTCTGTGTGGATATTCCTAGTAACAGGGAACTCATTATCAAATAAAGCATTAAATCAATAACAAAATATGCCTTTCTTCCTAGAGCCTGGGCATGACTGAGAGAAGATCTTTGTCACAGGTTATCTTTGCCCTACCGAGGGTCTCTTCCCTGTCTCCCCTAACCAGGTAAACATAAGCCCAAGACAGTGAGCAAAGCCTGCAAAGCCTGAGCAAGCCATTGGATATGCTAGATCCAGGAATGGACTCCCTAGGGGGATTTCAGTACTCATTCGCTTAGAAAAACAAGAGGCTGCAGACCTTTTAAAATAGAATGAAATTCTGCATGAGCACACACACAAACCCACAGTCCCCTAGGAATAGTCTCCTTTCTGCATTGTAGGATGCCCCCCAAAAGGCACTGAACCACTAGTCCAAGAGGAAAGGTCTCAGATTCTCACCTGCTTCCAGTCCTTTGTAGCTGACCTAAGATCACTTTCTTTTCCTTCAGCTTTCCTCGAGAGCAGACTCTGATCTGTCCATGGTTCTGATTGCTAATGTCTGTCACTGGAAGGCAAGGCGAGGGTTCTTTCATTCATTCCTTCATGATAACTAGCATTTATTGAGTACTTACTATGTGCCAGAGACTGTGATATGCTCCTCATATTTAGCCTCTTTTTATTTAAGTCTACCAGACATAATGAAGAAGAGCACAGATCATACACACACAGCTTAGTGAAGTTTCGTACAGTGAATTCATTTCATACAGTGAACCAAAACGAAGATCAAGACATAGAATGTTATCAGCACCCAAGAAGGCCTTTCATCTCCCCTTCCAGGTGCTATCCTTCAAATGTAACCACTGCCTTGACTCTTAACAGCATAGATTACTTTTTTTCCTACTTTTGAACTTTCTATAAATGGATCATACAGATTGTCTTCTCTTTGGGGTCTGGCTTCTATAGCCCAACATTATGTTTGTGAAGTTTATTTGTATTGTTCTAGACAGTTGTAGTTTATTCACCCTTGTTGCCATGTAGCATCACCTTGTGTAAAACGTTCCTCAATTTATTCATTCTACTGCTGATGGGGCATTTGAGTTGTTTCCAGTTTTCTGGAATATCACTGATGGAAACATTCCAGCTCATGTCTTTAGGTGAACATACGCTTTTCCATAATATATAAGATATTGTATATACATGTATATATGAATATGTATACACATACACACATATATATTGGGTGGTAAATGTGGTACATTTTTCAATTCCCATTTTTCAGATGAGAAACAGAGGCTTGAGGACGTTGAGCCAGGAAGTAGTGGAGCTGGGACGTGAATCCTATCCTGTCTGGGATTGGAGCTCAAGTTCTCTAACCATCATGCTTTACTGCCTCCCAATGCATGGGCCATTTAACAGTATTCATGATGTCGGGGCGCCTGACTATAGAACATGCGACCCTTGATCTTGGGGCTGTGGGTTTGAGCCCCACGTAGGGTGTAGAGATTACTTAAAAATAAAATCTTTAAAAAAGCAAAAAGTACTCATGACGTACCGGAGTGGTTGCTGCCATCGAGGGAGACAAAAAGATAGGAAGGCACAGTCATGCAAGAAAGAAATTGATAGAAGGGTGTGATAAGGAGTCTGAGGAAAAGGGGGTCATTTTTTTTTTAAGATTTTATTTATTTGACAGAGAGAGACACAGCGAGAGAGGGAACACAAGCAGGGGGAGCAGGAGAGGGAGAAGCAGGCTTCCCGTGGAGCAGGGAGCCCGATGTGGGGCTTGATCCCAGGACCCTGGTATCATGACCTGAGCCCAAGGCAGATGCTCAATGACTGAGCCACCCAGGCGCCCCAAAAGGGGGTCATTTTTATCTTGGAAGATCATAGGAGGCTTCCTAGAGGAAAAAAAAAAACATCTAAAGAGAAAAGATGGGGGCAGATTCTGGGCATGTCAGGGTGATGAGGGAAGGAGTGCCAGGCTGAGAGAGTCTGGGGACAGAAGAAGAGGAAGTCCTCATAGAGTCACAGCTACAAGGCCCTCAGAGGTCACCTTGTCCAGTCCCCATTGTCTACTCACCCATTTTTACATTGCTGGCTTCCAAATTTATATACCCAGTCTTGAACATTACCCTGATTTCTAAACTCTTTACTATTTAGTTGGATGACAAATAGGCATCTCAGATTAACATTGCCAAGAGAGGGCTCCCGATCTTGTCCCCACACACTCCAAACTGCTCCTCTTCCAATCTTTCTTGTTCTTTGGAACTACCAGCAACCAACTACTCAGGCGCCCAACCACAGCATCATCCTTCCTTCCTCCCTTTCCCTACATCCAATCCATGAGCATGTCCCATCAGCTATATCTACAAAGCCTACTCTGAATGTGATCTCTCCTTACCACCTCCCCGCTACCACCCTGGTCATGATTACCAACATCACTCACCTGGATGACTACAACAGCCTCCTCCCTGCTTTCCCTGCTTCCATGCTCCTTTGGAAGCCCACAGGGAGAAGCCTTCTTTGCCTCTCCCAGCTTCTGGTGGTTCCAGATGTTCCTTGCCTTGGGGCTTCCTAACTTCAATCTGTACCTCTGTCTCCACATGGCCTTCTCCTCTGCACCTTATCTTCCTATTATTGGTGACCTCCTCCTATTGGTCATTAAATTTCGGGTCCACTTGGATAATCCACAATGATCTCATCTTAAGATCCTTAACTTAATTACATCTGCAAAGATCCTTTTTCCAAATAAGGTCACATTCATAGGTTCTGGGTGGACATATCTTTTAAGGAGCCATCATTCAATTGAGTACAGAGGTGAATCTCAGAAGCTAAAAGAGTTTAAATTGAGTTTAAACTTTAGTCCTCCAGTGAGTGATTATTTTTCAAAGCATAAAAGACTCTTGGCCTGCACATACTTGCTATCTCAGCACTGACTGTCCATGCATCACTTCAAAGGTCATTCTGAGGAGGGAGTGTCTGCATTGTGTTTGCTGCAAGGCTAACTTAGGGCTATGAGTCTAGCCAGGGGCCTTGCCGCAACCCCAAACCCACCAGATCATTGCTGGGGGTATTGTCATTGCTACTAAGGGGCCAAAATAGTTTCCTTCCAAAAAATGACCTCCCCAAAGAGAGCTAGCTACCTGCTATGCTGGTGACAAAAGGAAAAAGAAGGGATCCAAGAAAGTGCTGGTTCTGACCAAGGATGGTAGGCAGCCTCTATGGTGGATGATCCCCAATGATCTCCCCACCTAGTTTTTATGCCCTTATGTAATCCCCTCCCCTCAAGCATGGGCTGGGGATACAATATAGTAAAATTGTCAGGATGTTATTTCTAAAATTTCCGTGGCTTCTCTATTGCTCACCTTTTCTCACCCTCTAGCTTTCTTGCTCTGAGGGAAGCCAGTTCCCATGTCGAGCAGCTCTGTGGGGAGGTCCCTGTGGCAAGGAACTAATCTCTCCAGCCAACAGCCTACAAGAACCTGAGGTCCTTGGTCCAGGGGCCCTCAAGGAACTGAAGCCTGCCAACAGCCTTGTGAGTAAGCTCGGAAGTGGACCTTCTGAGGCCCACAGAGAGCCTATGCGTGAGCTTGGAAGCTGATCTCTCTGCCCCAGATGACCCCTCCTATGATGCAGCCCTGGCCAACACTTTGATTGGGACCTGTGGAAGACCCTGAGCCAGATGCCCCCCGCTAAGCTGTGCCCAGATTCTTGCCCCACAAAATCTGTGAGATGATAAAACATTTGTCAATTAAGCCACTACGTTTTAGAGTAATTCGTTGTGCAGTGATAGACACACTCAGATCTAAATTCCTAGGATATATTCAACTATGTGGAAGCCTCATGCTATAACAGTAGCTGTGTTTACAAATTTGAGGATTCACAGATATTAGCTCATATCCCTTCTCAAGAATCCTACAACATCTCCTCCTACTCCTTTTCTTTTTCTATTTTTAAATAAACATATCAAACTATAGTGACAGTTACACATTCTGTTTTTTTCTGCCTCATGTGTTGTGAGCATTTCCCCATCTCATTTCCCCATCTCATTAACTATTCTTCAAAGCATTCTTTATTCCTGGCACCTCTTCAGCAGCCCGTTATAGGAGTGCGCCAATGTTAATTTAGTCACTCCCCTCTCTTATGTTTTGAGCTCAAGGTAGGGTTTTAACTCCTTGGGTCACATCTATGAGTACATGCCAGCCCCTTCAAGCAGGGCTTATGGGAGGAATATGGGGTAGGTGGAAGGCAGGATCGTCTGTGTTTAAGTGCTCCTGATGTTGCAACAAGTCTGTGCCACTTCTTAGTTATGTGTCCTTGGGCTGGTTACTTAACACTCCCAGGCCTCAGTTTCCCCTTCTGAACAGTGGGAATAATATCCATACCTACCTCACAGAGTTACTGGAGGCATATTAGAGGCATAACCTGGAGTTAACCCAAGTAAAACACAGCACAGTATCTGACTATATTTAGGGTATATGGACACAAGCCAGACCACAACATCCTCACAAACACACACTCTGCTCCTCGTTGAGTCCTGGTCTATGGTGCATTATATCAGCTCTTGTTCCAGACTCCAGCTGGCCTCCAATCAAAAGCACCTTGACTTTCCTCCCACCAGTCTGCTCTCCATGAACCTGTGGTGACCCTGGCTCTGGCACCATCCACAATCCTGCAACCATCACACCCAGGCCTAGCTGTGTGGTCCTGGGCAAGTTCAGCCTGTCTCTGGGTCTCAGCCTCCTCATTTTCGATATGAGGAGGGGGGTAGATTGGGAGGTCCATGAGGGATTGCCCACCCCTAAACTCTAGACTATTACCTCTTCTTTCAAAGGCCCTTCAGTTTCAACCATGCCGAGTACAATCAGAGCTTTAAAGAACGGGCCAACGCAAAAAGAATTGGAAAACATTTTAATTTATTTACCATAACATGTGTGCCGAGATTTGTGCTCAGCATCCTGGAGTGTGTTAAATACTAGCATAGTGTCTGTTTATATGTGCGTGAAAATCTGGGTGAAGATGGGGCGCCTGGGTGGCTCAGTCAGTTAAGTGGCTGCCTTTGGCTCAGGTCATGATCCCAGGGCCCTGGGATCGAGCCCCACATCGGCTCCCTGCTCGGTGGGGAGCCTGCTTCTCCCTCTCCCTCTGCCTGTCTCTCTGCCTACTTGTGCTCTCTCTCTATCTCTCTGTCAAATAAATAAATAAAATCTTAAAAAAAAAGAAAAAGAAAATCTGGGTGAAGAATTGGGGTTTCTCATCTCAGGCCCCTTACAGAGCTTGTCCTGAGTCTGAGTGAGAACCCACACCCACCCCCCCAACCCCTACCCCAGCAGATACTGCAGCTGAGCTCCTGCCTGGGAGAGGCAGGGAGCTATCTGGGAATAGCCTGGGGAGCTGACCCTGGAGAATCTCCCAGAGGTCTTGGTATGGCTATGGGTTCCCCTCCTGCAGAAATCCCTGGGGGGACTGTTCCAGGCTTCTCTCCAACTCCAACCCACAGGTTCAGTTCCTTGGCACTGAAAACACTGCTAGGGAATAAAAAGTCCACTTCTGGGCTCCTGCTTGGCCTCTCCCTATCCCTCTTGGACTCTGGACTAGCCCCAGCTAGGGTGAGGTTTCAGGAACTGCAGGGCTCCCCCACAAACCAGAAGAAAGAGCTCCTTCCCGTTCCCAGCACATAAACCTCACACCAGCCCCCAGTTTCTAGGACTTCAGCTCCTAGGGTACCCGGGCCAGGATCCCACCAGGAGAAGGAGGAGCAGATGGTGGTGTTTCAGGTCCCCAAAAAGGCTGTGCGACCTTGGGCACATCACATGGCTTCTCTGGCCTCCGTCTCCTTATCTGAAAAAGTGGTGTGATCATCTGGATTTTGCAGAATGACCATGAAGTTGAAATAAAATAATGGCGGTGACAGGGCCTGGCAGTGCTGGGCAGCAGTGATGACGTTCTCTTCCTGGTGAAATGCTGGGCCAGCTGGTCAGCCAAGAAAGGCAACCTCCAATGGTAAGGGAGGAGATGCCAGTGTGCTGAGGCTGCTACTTCAGTCCAAGGAAGGGGCTAGCTCGGCTCCCAGGGATGGGTTAGAAGTGGACTTGAGCAGAGGAGAGCAGGGGGAAAGCCAAGAGTGGGTGAGGGCTGGGATCCACACCCAGCCCTTGCTGATCTGCTGCCGATAAGGCCGCAGGCTTGTACTCCCCACCCTGCAGGCAGGCCAGCCCCAGGGCAGTTGAGAGGCTGTCAGGTGAGGACCCAGGCTTCCCTCTGGTGGGGTGCTCCATCACAAGGGGCTGTAGAGGGGTGGGTTGGGCTGGGGGACCGGGCAGGAGGGTGTCGAGCTTGGAGGAAGGCCTTGGCAGGCTGGAGCCAGTGAGCGAGGCTGACTGGACAGGGCTGGGGGACAGTTGGGCAGGAGATGCGGTGACCTGAGTGGAGTCAAGTGACAGAGAAGGCAGAGGGGACAGGGGGAGGCCAGGTGAACTATGAGGCTGTGGATCTGGAGAGAGCCGGTGAGCCGAGGGAGAAGAGACTGAGGTCTGAAACAGGCCCAGCTGCTCCTGGCAGCCATGTTGTCCATGGAGCATGGAGTCCGGGGGACGCTCGGTCTGGCCCCAGCAGCCAGGGGTCACTGGAGCCAACCAGGTGGCAGAGTCCATGAGGCACAGGCGCTCATGTGCATGCAGGGTCCGGCTCCACCACACCAGCTCTGCCTGCAGGGCCTGGATCTCCTTCCGCAGCAGGTGGTTGTGTTTCTCCAGGGTCTCGTGCTGCTGGGGGCAGAAGCAGATGGATGGGGGAGGGGACGTCAGCCAGCATGAGTCCTGTACCCCGTCCCTAGCATCCTTAACTTAGAGGGAAAGGTATATTGCCAACCAAATGTCTCAGCGAGGGCCCCTTGGCTCCTCTCTGGCCGGCTCTCCACAACCACCCAGCCCCTCTTGCCCATTCCACTCCTACTGGGGCTCAGATTGGCCTGCTCTCCATCCTCACCACCGGTCCCCTGGGCCAGCTGGTCTCCACCAGCCAGCCACCTCCACTCACTTGAGAACTCCACCAGTGTCCTGACTGGGGCGCCCCTGAAACCACCCTGTTCTCCTGGCCCAGAGGAACAGTTTGGCAATTACGGGGTCAACTGTACATTCAAGTGCAAGTCCTTTAAAGGCTCCCACGCCTCCCTGTGCACCGTGGCCCCAGCTCACACCTCCAGCTTTATCTCTCTGACTTCTCCTGCTCCCCTTAACTTCCTCTCCCTCCAGTGGACTCTGCTTCCTCACCACATTTCCTGTCTCCTCTGCCTGCACACTCTTCCAGTACCTCCTCCCCTGGGCTAATCCTGACGTGGCCTTCTCATGACAGCTTGGAGGTCATTCTGTTTTGCACACTTCTAGGCTGCTTCATGCCCCTGTCCGATCTCCCTAGTGCCCAGAACTGACTCACAGAGGCACTGTGGGATGAGCCCCGGGTAGTGTTTCAGAGGGTGGCAGCACCGGAATGTTGTATTCGGCACCCCCGAATCAGCATCTGGTAGCTTCTGTTCTGCTGGACTCTGGGTTCTGAGAACGTACTGATAGCGTGCAGTTCTAAACGACCCTTTATAGTGACAGGAATGAAAGAGCTTTCTTTCCACAGCTCCTAAGGCTGAATGACTTTCTCTGGTTCCCTCCCCTACCTCATCCCTTTTGTGGACAATTTTTATTTATCTTTTATTTATTTTCTTTTTTTCATTGATTTGAAAGAGAGAGAGACTGCGTGAGCAGGGGGAGGGGCAGAGACAGAAGCTCAAGCTGACCCCTTGCTGAGCACAGGGCTCTACCGGCCCCACGCGGGCTCCACTTGGGGCTCGATCTCATGACCCATGAGATCATGACCTGAGCTGAAACCCAAGAACTGGACACTTAACCCACTGAGACACCCAGGCGCCCCTTTTGTGGACAGTTTTTAAAAGGAGAAGCCTCAAGGGTGTTTTACATAAAAAATGTTGCTGAGAGCATGAACTCAAAATGCTAACAGGCCTCAAAACCACTAGCAGCCCTACTTCCAGGCTGGTCTCTGCATGTGGAGTGATATTTTTAAAACATGGCATTAGGTCACCTCTCACCTAAATTCTCCAAAGGCTTCAATTCACCTCCAGAAACTGAGTCATTTGCTGGTTCACTCCTTTGTTCCCTCACCATCTCTAGGCCGCTCACGTGTTACCTCCTCAGGGAAGGCTTCCCCAGTTAGGTTTCCGTCACCCCACCCTCCCCGCTCCCTTGCCTCTGCCCTGCTGTATTTGGCCCCACAGCGCTTATCACCAGCTGACATCCCCAATCCCCCATGGATAATTTATTTGTCTGTCTGGCTCCCCCATGAAAATATGAGCCCTGGAGAGGGTGGGGTAGGTTTTTGTCTGCTGGGTTCGCAGCTGTATCGCCGATGCTGAGAAACGTACCTGTCACATGGAAGACACTCAATAGGCCTTCTTAGAAGGAGTGAACACATGAATGCATGAAGTCTCTACCCTGCCAGGCGGGCACCATCCTGGTCCTCACTCACACATGCCCACGCCAGCACTATTTCATTTGCCGGCATGCCTTTTCCTACCTTCATCCGTTTGGAAAACTCCTATGCATCTTTCAAGACCAGCTCAGACTCCATCTCCATTATCACCCTGATGCCACTGGCTGTGTGTTGCCCCACCTTTGTGCTCCTAGAGCACTTTATTCTGACTCTATCATCCGCTCCACAGGGCACGACCGAGTTCCTTCTGTTTGTCGGGCACTGCTCCAGGTGATGGGGAAACAGCAGGGGACAAAATAGTTCCCTGCCTTCATGGTGCTTCTAGTCTGGTGAAGGAGATGAGCAATAGACCTCAAATATGTAAGTTCAGGGCTAACAAGAAGAATAGAGCAGAGTAACAGGTAGCCGGCTCTTTAGATCATGTGGTTTAGAAAGGCCCTTCAGAGGAGGTGACATTTAAACCAAACAACCGGAAAGAAGTGAGGATCTAGCTGGACTGTGGTCTGAGGCTAGAGAGAACAGTCTCTGCAGAGCCCCTGGGCTGGATGTGCGTGGCCATCGAAGGAACAGGGAGAACAGGGTGTGGGGTGTTAGGGGAGGAAACAGCACAGGGCCTTTGGTAGGCAGGGCTGTAGAATTTCACTCAGCACTATAAGAACTAAGGTGTAAGCATTTTTCCCAAGGGCCAGGTCCTGAGCCCAGCTCTGAATCCTTTCCCTGGGATGGAACCGGTGATGTCCTTTCTCTCTGCCACAGAGGAAGAAGAAAAGCTCCAAGGGTCAGCTTACCATCCAAGGTCAAATTACCACGCAAGGTTAAGAGGCAAGTACAGTGGAGCCCTCCCAGACCCCACTGGGCTCCTTTGCCTCCTTTAGTCTCCACAAGGGTCCTGCCAGAGGGGGATTATGGTCCCCGTTTTTGGATGAGGACAGTGAAGCTCAGCGAAGGAAGTGACTTGTAGCTATGAGTGCCACGGCTGGGACTCTAAAGCAGCCCATCTTAACCCTGAACGAGTTTCTCATGGGGTGAGTGTTTGTCTCCTCTCCCTAGATCTGGGGCGCTTGAGGCTGCGGTCACGCCTTTGTGTCCCCAGAGCCCAGTGCATGTCTGGCACAGTTTGTACTCAGCACCTCTCTCAAGCTCAGGCAACCTGGAAACATACAGCAGTGGAGGGAGAGCCGCTCACAGGCATGGAGGTAGGGATGGAGGAGAGGTAGCCAGGCCAGGAAAGTGGAGTCAGGGTAGGGAAAGGAAGGCATCCCCCACCTGGTGCAGGGCGTCTGCCTTGTCCGTGTGCTTCTGCCGGCTGCGCTGGGCGGCTGCGCGGTTCTTCTGCTTCTTCTTCAGCCTCTGACACTCCTCAGGGTCCTGCAGGGTGTGAGGCAGAGGGCTCAGGGGTCCCGGCGGGGGCTTGCACCCTCTGTCCAGGCCATCTGTAAAGCCACACTCTCCACGATCCAATTCCCCGAGAGCCTCCTGTCTCTTAGAGGCCCCCTCTGGCTTTCTGGGCTCCCACACACGGCATCGCTCGCAGGTACACCTTGTTGGAACACCTGCCTCATCCACACGGCCTGCTTACAGCTCACAATGGGGGAGGATGAATGGAGAAGCCCAAAGCCTCAGTTAGAATGCAGACAGAATGGACTTCACACCTACACTCTACTTAGCAGCCATCCTGCTTTGGGCAAATCGCTCCCTTCTGGAGCCCCGCTGCCTCATCTGTACAAGGGCCACAAAGCAGGCATTAGCTTCACCAGCAAGGGCAGGGCCAGGGTCCGATTCGGCTCTGTGAGCCCAGGCCCAGCCCAGGCCCGAAGCTGATATTCAGTGCCTCAACAGATATTTATTGAGCACCTACTGTGTGCCAGGCACCGAGTGAGGGGGACAAAACAGCAAATCAAGCAGGCAAAAATCCCTGCCCTCAAGTTGCTGACATTCTAGTGTGGCAGCAACCTGGAAGGAATGCATGAGTGGACCCAAAGCTTCCCAGCAGTGCCCCTCCACCTCCCCTGGACCCCCCCCCCCAGGGGCTCCGTGAAACTTACACAAAATATTTAACCCCAATGCCCCATGTTTTGGAAGGTCGGGCAAGAGAGAATGTTGGAGACCCCACAGCCCAAATCCCCCTTTCCCTAGGTCACTCTGGGAGTGCGTTCTGACTGTAGGGAGCTCAGACAGGACCCAAGACCCTGCCCTCCCTGGCTGAGAACTCCATGTTGCTCAGTTCATGGTCACAAGAGGCCCATCGCAGGTTCTGGGAGGGCCAAGAGACTGGAGCCTGGGGGAAAGACCTGCACTTGACAGAAGGAGATAGGCTTCTGGTACTTGGGTCCTGGGAGAGGAGCAGGGCCTCCAAGGGGAGCCACGCCGGAGAATTTGGGGAGGGAAGAGAATGCTCCCATAAGGGCAATGAGGGGAGGGTGGGTGTGGAGACAGCACTCTTCAGAAGCCATGTTCTAAAACGGGAGCCTGGCTCTGCACTATGAGGGCAGGAAAGCCCTCACTTCAATCCCCTGGGGAAACTGAAGCCCAGAGAGGGGGTATGTGGGTCCCACGGTCACACCCCCGTAAGCACAGAGCTGGGACTAGAAGCTCTGACCATGTCCCTCCCTGCCTAGGGACTGGGGACGCTTGGCCATATTCCCCTTCTCATCCCCTGTCCCTGGTTCCCTGTACTCACCGTCCTGGTCAGCAGCCCACTGCCCCCACAGAGGTGCATGGCTTAGGCAGGGGGCGGGCAGAGGCTCAGTTCGGGTGTCCCTCTGCCACTGTGACCTCCCAGTGCCCTCTGGGGGCCCAAGGAAGTGGCAGCTCTTTAAATCCCCAGTGACCACTCCGCCCCCAGCAAACCAAGTTTCAGTTTCTTCTAAAGCCACTGGCTGCTCAGAATCCCTGGCTCGGGTTGGCTCACGTGGCTGGAATTTCCTAACATGAACTGGCCTTCCGGTTGGGTCCCTTTTCTGGAAGGAGAGCGACGGCAACGGAGGGTGGCCGGAGGAGGGGACACCAGAAGTCTGTTATTGGGGAGGGGGGTTCTGGGGGAGGGAGGGCAGGCGGCCAGGCACAGAGCCAAGAGGCGAAGCCAATGGGGAGCCGAGGGCTCATGTGCGACACGGGAGAGTCTCTGGGCGCTGGAACTCCCGGCGTCCAGGTTCGCCGCCCACCTCTGGCCCGTGGGAGCTGCGCAGCTTTGAGAACGTGATTCATCCTTGCTGATCTTAGTTTCCTCATCTCTAACGGGTGTAGGGGGATGGGACAAGTAGCTACTCACAGCTTCACGGAGGAACCAAGCAAGATAATACAACCACCCCCAAACCCTCTGAGACCAATGTTGAGGCAAGTGTGCAAAAATAAGCAATGGCCCTTAAATAGGAGAACAGATGGATAAATTACTGTGTTTTCATTCAACAGACCACGCAGAAGTAGAGGGAGCGGTGTCTAGCGGTTGGGAGAACAGCCTCCAAGCTATGTGACTTGGGGACATAATTTCACCTTTCTGGGGCGCCTGGGGGGCTCAGCTGATTAAGCGTCTGCCTTCGGCTCAGGTCATGATCTCGAGGTCCTGGGATCGAAGCTCCTTGCTCAGGGGAGCCTGCTTCTCCCTCTCCCTCTGCCTGCCACTCCCCCTGCTTGTGCTCTCTTGCTCTCGCTCTCGCTCTCTCTCTCAAATAAATAAATACAATCTTAAAAAAAATAATTTCACCTTTCTGTGCCTTTGTTTTCAAATCTATAAAGGGGGGATAAAAATAATTCTGTCAGGAATGTGAAATGAGGTGAGGCGGGCAAGGCACCTGCAACCGTGCCTGGTACAGAGGAAGAGTTCGACAAATACTTGCAACTATGATCTGCTGGGCGATTCACAGCCGCACTGAGCATTGTGCCTGAGAGTCCGTCACGTCCAGTTGGTTGAAAATCACAAGCTGCAACAAGATCCGAACAACACCATTTCTGTAAGGTTTAATCATATGGGTACGCATATATGTAATAAAAGTATAAAAATGTGCATGGGAATGAGAAACACGAAATTCAGAATGTGGTGGCGTGGGTGCACTGACACACAGGGATTTCAGTTGTGTCTGTGGTGTTCTGTGGCTTAAAAACTCTGAAAATATTATCTACATGTTGGGGTATACCTGTTTCCTTTTTTTTTTTTTTTTTTGTCAGAGAGAGAGAGAGAGAGAGGCAGACAGAGGGAGTAGCAGGTGTCCCACTGAACAAGGATCCCGATGCAGGACTCGACCCCAGAACCTTGGCATCATGACCCGAGCTGAAGGCACACACTTAACCGACTGAGCCACCCAGGCGTTCCTGAAGTGTTTCCTAATAAATACTTCTATTAAAGACTTAGCAAACCCAGAAGCCTCAGGCAAACCAGCATGGTTGTTGTATCTCTAAGGGAGACCGTGCACGGAAGGGACATCTGTCTGGGGGACAGAGGAGCCAGGAACCCCTGTCGGAGAACAGCATAGCAACTGATGTGCGGTGCCCAGGGTCCCGTGGTCTGGTTCCTAGAGCACCTCGGGATTGTATCTGAGTCCTGAGGGCTCAAGGCTGATGGTGTGGGATCACAGGAATGGCAAATAGCGTAGATGTGATCCTCTGATAGGTAATGGTGTCCTGCAATGCGGTGTTGAGGGGTTCACAGCTGCCTCCCAGCTTCTTAGAAAAGAGCAGGGCAGATGAGTCGCAGCACCTGCCCTGCTGTGACTGATTAGTGATGTCCGCCTTGAGCGGGGCTGGGGGAATGGCCACCCCCTGCTCTGCCTAGAATTGGGCATGAAACCAGTCTGGGCTTTGGAGTCAGACGCGACTCTGATACTTGGCACTCAAAGGTTGATGACCTGCAGCCTCGACGTTGTCATACGTACGCTGTAGATGACAATGAGATCATACCTATTTTACAAAGTTCCTTTGAAGATGGAAAAGAATGAGCTGAGAAGAAAGCTCTCTGCATATGGGAAAGTGCTATCCCACTAGAATCCATTCCCCCTGGTGAGATTTGTGGGAACCCAGGATTAATGAAGGCTCCTAATTTTAAATGCTCAGGCGTGTGGGATGGGCATGACAGCTGGGCCTGGCCCTCCTTGCTTGAAAGGGGTTGGGGAGCAGAGGCTGAAGTGGGGCACCCCCATGCAGGGAGGCTGCCTCGATGACTCTGGACGATTTTTGTTCCTCAGAAACCAAGAGGGCCAGGTCATCTTGCCTGAGGCGGGCACCTAAGGGACTCATTAAGCCAGTCCATGAGCTCCACAGGGAAGGATCTGGCGAAGCCACACACGTGATGTAACCAAGAAAAAAAAAAATCTGTGGGGCAGGGGGGCAGTGGCTAGGGCCCAATCGTTCCCCACCTCGGCCCCCAGCCCCAGACCTGGACCCCAGTCTTTCCCTCTGCAGACCCTAGCTTTGGGTGGAAAGGAGACAGTCAGCAAGTGTGCCTGTGGCCTCTCTCAGGAGGCCACAGCCCTGGAGGAAGTTTGAAGAAGGCAGTGTTTATGGCTGGCTCTCCCTAAGGCGTGTCAGGGATGAGGGACACAGAATGGGTAATGTTTAACCACGAATGGCTGTGCGTGGCTTCCCCAAGAGGTGGACGCCCTCCCAGGCCAGCAGGGCAGGTTTCAGGGTCCTCCAGGGCAACCTCCCACTTAGAAGGGGAAGGGACTAATGCCCAGAGAGCCCAGGTGGACTGGAGGGAGGGGGCAGAGCTGGAGGGAGGACACATCTCTCTCCTCCGAGCCCCGAGTCCTCGTCCACGGCCAGGGCGGGAGGTCCTGATCCTCTAGTTCAAAGCCTGCAGCCCCTGCGAGGGGAGGCTGGGAGGCCTCCCCACACCAGAGCTACGGAGTGAGCTCTTGGGTAACAGGGTCGTTTCCTGTCTTACTCTCCAAAGTATCAAACACTGCCTCCACATAAGGGGTGATCAATTGATGAATGAATGAATGCGAGTCCCGCAGACAGCTTGCCAGAAACCCCAAAAGCTTCCTGGACGAGTAAAGAAACTTCAGCCTTACTCATTCCCACGGGACCTGCCTTGGATTCCTGGGGGGGGGTCTCTCCTCAACCAACCTCCTCATTTTACCAGCGAAGAAACTGAAGCACAGGGAGAATACAGTCACACAGTTGGTTTGGGAGAAGCCCTGTCCCAGTTCCTTCCCACACCTTCCGGGCTTGGAGAGATGCTGGGGGTCTCCAGTTGTCCAGGAATGAGGACCCTCTGTCTAGGTCTCCCCAACCGCCCACCGTGCGCACCCTCAGTTGAGGCCTGGTCTTCTCAAGATAGCAGAGAAAGAGGCCAAGCGGCTGCAGATGGGGCTGAGGCTGGCTATCGACTTCCCACTTGCAACTGTGGATGGACCTGCGTGGGAGTGAAGCCTTGGCCCACACCAGTCCACACCCCGCCCAGGGTGTGAGACACACACCTAGCACATCAGCTGGCAAGGCGGGGTGGGGTGTCCGTGGCAGCAGAGGGCACTTCCTACTGGGGAGATCAGAGAAGGCCCTCCAAAGAAGAAACTCTTTAGCAAGGACATTGAAGGATGGGCAGGCTCCATCCTGGGGCCTGGAACTTGATCTTGGGCAAGTCACTTAACTCTTTCTGCCTCTTCTGTAAAGTGGGCATAATAATATAAGGATTTGATGAAGTCATATATGTAAAGGGCTTAGCACAGTGCCTGGCATATAAACATCGGTTCAAATTTTAATAAGGCACTCAATAAATACCTGAGAAATTTTTGTTCACAGAACCAAAGGCTTGTATTTTAGTTATTATTATGTATTTTAAGAAAAAAATGGTGGAGGGGCACCTGGGTGGCTCAGTCGGTTAAGCATCTGCCTTCGGCTCAGATCACGATCCCAGAATGGGAGTCTTGGGATGGAGCCCCATGTTGGGCTCCCTGCACAGCGGGAAGTCTGCTTCTGCCCCTCCCCCTGCTCCTTCTCTCTCTCTCTCAAATAAAAAATCTTAAAAAAAAAGAAAAAAATGGAGTACATGAGGGATGAGATTTTTTTTTTCCTAATGAAATACCTTTTTAGTGGAAAAAAAAAAGTGTTGCTGTCCACGTGTAAGCAGCAGCACTTAATATTTGATGTCAGTTGCTCAAAATTTCTCATGCTTATAAAGGAGTATTAATAACAGATGGGAAATTAGGATTCTCTGGATTCTTATTTTTCCGAATGATCTAACTCAAGCGTAAGTTACTGGCAAGTCTAGAGGGTAACAGCTTCAGGCACAGCCGGATCATGATGCCCAAACCATGTCATCAGGAGCGAGTGCTCACCCTCACTCTTCTAGAAAGATGACCACGAGGAGGGCGCATCCCTCCACTCCTGCCACTTTCCCAGAGGTTCCCACAAAGGGCCAGGACTTGGTTTGGCTTAAGTCATGTGGCGATTCCTGACATCAGTCACTGCGGCCAGGAGATAAAGTAAGATAGGCCAGGCAGGGGGTCTTAGGCCCATCCTGGAGCTCAAGAGAAGGGGTCAGCCCTGTTTTAACCCTAGGGACTAGGGGTGAGGGAAGGGCAACCCCCATAGGGCTGTTGGCGGGAGAGGGTAACAGATACTCCACCTTGGCTCAGATTCAGACATGAGGAAGCTGCTGCTAGAGATGCATCCCTTGGTAGAGTCACATTCCCCAGATGGGATGGACTCCATGCCCCCACGTCTGACACCAACCCTGCACCCTCTCTTTCCTTTGCTTCACAGGGACCCGTGGGTGGAAAAGCAGAGGCCTGCTGAGGGAAAGATTCCAAGTGACCCGAATGCTGGGCAGGGACTAGGGCAACGACATCGTGGGGACTCCCCAGGGCCGCGGGAGGAAAAGCTCACTTTCACTTCAGCACAGCACCCTGTGAACACTCATCCCAGGGGCAATCTGCAAATAGCCCAGCTTCCCAGGAACTGGGTGACTTCACCAGGGCTCAGTGACGCTATCACTGCTCACCTGTCAGTGGGAGCTGGGGCAGGGTGCCCAGCCCTCATCCTGCTGGGCCCTCTGCTGCCCCCAAAGCTTTGTGCTTCTGATTTTCTGTTCCCTGAACATATACATCTTTCCCAGAAATGGACTCAAACTTTTGGGAGTGGGCAGGGAGTATAAATAATCAACAGCTGAGCACTAGAGTCAGCAAACCCAGGGCTTCGCAGGGTGTGGCCCTGGTGACTGCAGCTCCTGGATTTTCCAGGTGGTCCAAGTCCCAGATAGGCTAGGGTTCAAATCCCTGCTCTGCCACTTCCAGCTGTGTGACCTTAGACATGGCCCATGGTTTCTCTGGGCCTCAGTTTCCTCGTCTGTAAAATGGGGATAATAGCCTTGCTTTGCCAGCGCTGTCATGACGACGGAAACCACGGATGGAAAGCAGTCACCAGGGGCGCCTGGGTGGCTCAACGGGTTAAGTGTCTGACTCTTGATTTCGGCTCAGGTCATGATCTCAGGGTCCTGGGATTGAGCACCTCGTTGGGCTCTGCGCTCGGTGTGGAGTCTGCTTGAGATTCTCTCTCTCCTTCTGCCCCTCCCCCTGCCCACCTTCTCTCTCTCAAAATGAATGAAAAGAAAATGTTAAAAAAAAAAAGAGAGAGAGAGAGAGAAAGCAAGCAAGCGGTCACCAGCAAGTTCCTTCTTGTCCCAGCGTCCCTGGCTGGCTCTCCCTTGTCACATCTCCTCTGTCTGCTGCACATAGCAGAGAGGCCCATGCTGGGGACCCTGCTAAGATCCTAGACACTAGAGAGGAAGGGCTGTCACCCTGGCCTTTGAGGGAGCCTCTCCACTCCCCAAATGGCTCTCCCTCATTTTGCCTTTGGTGTTGGACACCAGGAAGGCCTTGCTCTGAGGCTAGTGGAGGAGGGTCACAAGCCAGAGCCTGGAGGGCTGAAGTGGGGTGGGATATACAAGCCCAACTCAGCGTGGCCAGTGTCCCCCAAGCAAGAGAGCACTTGCCTTCCCATCCCAAGTACTGTACCAAGGGCGCCAAGAGCTTTGGCAAGGCAGCTTGGCCATGAGTCGTGGTCAGAAGATTCTGGAGATTGTCCATCCAGTCTCCTTGCTTTATGGGTGGGGAAAGTAAGGTTCGGCGAGAGAAGGGGACTTGGCCAAGTGCAAGGACATGGCAGAATCCGGCTGACAGGTTTTGCCACAGCCCCAGCAGGCTTTTTTTTTTTTTTTTTATTGACAGAGAGAGAGAGAGAGAGAAACAGTATAAGCAGGGGGAGCTGCAGGCTGCAGAGGGAGAGGGAGAAGCAGGCTTCCCGCGGAGCAGGGAGCCCGATGCGGGGCTTGATCAGGACCCTGGGATCACGACCTGAGCCGAAGGCAGACGCTTAACGACTGAGCCACCCAGGCACCCCCCCCCAGCAGGCTTTTACCATCGTGCTCCTCTTGATCCAGCTCATGGCTTCGGGCTCTGGAGCAGAAATAATGAGGACACAGAGTACCCTCAGGAGGATGGGGAACGTTCCTCCTTCCTGTGGAGGAAACCCGCTGTGGGTCTGCAGGGGAAAGACTGCTGACCCACGGTGAAGTACCCATGAGGATGGGGCCTCCCACAGGTCCCGGGCCAGGGGTCCTGAAGCTGAAGGGGGTCCCCATGCAGAAGAAAGCCTAGGAAAGGGTCCCAGGAAAACTGGATCTACAGGCAGCTCACATGTTACCAGGCACAGGGCCTCGGGCAGCCTTGTGCCCTCTCTGGGGCTCAGTTTTCTCACATGTAACGTGAAAGAATGTGACAACTCACCTTTCAGGGCCCCTCTTGCTGCGGCTGGAGGCTGGGGCTGGCCTGAGGCCTTCTGGGAGGTGGACACCTTGCAGCCTCAGGAGTCTGTGCCATTTGAGAGAACAGAGGGGGCTTTCTATCAGACAAGGGGACACTGAACTGAGGGTGGGTACGTGGGCTCGGGAGGCCTGGGCCCTCCCCTGGTACTGTCACCTGTCTGACTCCCACTCTAGGCCTCAGCTCCCCAGGTGCCCAGGTGATGCCCTTTTCAGTGTGGGCCACTCTGGGAATTGGCCTCTGTGGGATCTCAGCAGCCAAGGTCTGGAGGCCGAGAAGCCTAAGTGGTTAAGAATAAGGCCGACAGGGCTCAGCTGCTTTCTGGCTGAGTGAGCGGCTAGGAAGCGGTTAACAGACCCTCTGCCTCTGTCCCCTTTACTCAACAGATATTTACTGAGCATCCACTACGTGGCAGGCCCTGCTCTAGGTGCTGGGAGACATCTGATTAAAGAAAAAAAAAAAATATATGGGCGCCTGAGTGGCTCAGTGGGTTAAGTATCTGCCTTGGCTCAGGTCATGATCCCAGGTTCCGAGTTGGGCTCTCTGCTCAGCAGGGAGTCTGCTTATCCCTCTTCCTCTGCCCTCCCCCTCTCCACCCCCCACTCATGCTCTCTCTCTCTCTCAAATAAATAAATTTTTTTTTTGTCCAAATTATTCATTTTACTGGATTCTGTTGACCTCTTGGGAATCTGACAATTTTTTTTCAAGAACATATTCAGAGGGGTAGTCAACGGTTTTTGAAACAAATTGATTCAATAAAATACTGACTCAAAAATTCTATCAATGGGGAACTGGCACTGTCAAGAATTTAAATTAAATAGAGCTTCCCAATAAGCATCCTCCAACTTCTTTAGAGAAATATTTTCTTCTAATTTGTGTATACCTCAAAACATTGTGGATTCAAGCTTTCAAGCTGCCATGTATAAGCTAGCCAAATTTATGTCATCTTTAAACTCAATCATATAGAACTCTATTGTTATTATAAAGGCAAATTAAATGTATTATTCAATAACATTTCAAAAGTGTTTAAAAAAAACAGAATTACTTTGTTAGTCACAGTGTTGATTGCCAGAGTTGGAGAGGCACTTCCCGAAATAATACACTCCATTCCCAAAGAATCTGAATCTATGCTATATGGAGTTGAGGCCGGTTCTACAGATCGTGCTCTCTTCTTTGGCCGAGTAGGCAGCACATCTTCCTTTGGATTGGTGTCTATTGCCCAGTAGGACCCCTTGGCTCAATGGTTTTCTCCCACTGTGGTGAGGGTGGTTTTGGAAAAGCTCCTCAAATGCCAGGAAACACTTCCCTGGGTCATCCTTTGATCGAGGCACTTTAAGGAAACACTTGTTCAGTGACAGATTATGTCGTATGGAATTCTTCCAACCACTGCCAGCCTCTCTATAATACGGGGAGTTATCACAAATCCACTGGTAAATCTCACTTAGAGTCATTTTCTTTTTGAGTGAGCTATTAATTGCAAATGTAATGAGGCTGGCATAACTGTATGGAGGTTTCCCATCTTTGTGCTGTTGGACTTCTTCCTGGTCCAGTGTTGTATTTGGGTCAAGGAGCGCATTCTTCTTGGAAATTCCTGTTCCATGTGCATTTTGTGTAGCATCAGATTTTTGGATGGCTGCTCTCATGGTGAGCTGTGGTAACCAGTCCATAGATGTTAGGCTGCTCTCCAGTTCAGATGTCATCCTTAATGAAGTTACAGATGGACAAGCCTGTCCATACAAACCCATCTGGCCACAAAGAGAATCTCAGGCTGCGCAGGCCGGGACGGTCCGGCCGAGCCCCCGGCCGCTGCGTGCGTCTCCGCCTCCCGGGAAAGGTCCCAACGGCCCCTGGGGCGAGCGGCCGAGGCCCCGAGCAGCGCCGAGAGCGGCGGCGGCAGCGGGAGCAGCCAACATCCGGGGCCGCGCACCCGAATAAATTATTTTTTTTAAGTATTTAAAAAAAAATCCAGATTCAACACCAGAGGTGGATGATCTGGGAGGGGGAGATGGAGGAAGGTTGTCCAAAGATACCAACTTCCAGTTGCAAGATAACTAAGTACTGGGGACGTAATGTGTGACCCCAGGCCCATTGCTAACAGTGCTGCACGAGGTATAGGAAAGTTAAGAGAATAAATCCTAAGAGTTCTCATCACAAGGAGAATTTTTTCCTTTTTTTTCTCCTTTTCTTTACTGTATTTACATGAGAAGATGGATATTAGCTAAACCTATTGCAGCAATCATTTCACCACATACGTAAATCAAACCATCACGCTGTACACCTTAAACTTATACAGTGACGTAGGTCAATTATTTTACAATAAAACTGGGGGGAAAGAAATCCAGATCCCTGCCCTTTGAAGCTTCTATCCAAGGGTGGATGGAGGGGTGGGGGAGGATAAATGTAACACGGTAAGGGAATTATAGAGGCTGCAGAAGGCGTTAAGTGTCACGTAAAGGATTTAGGGAATGTGGGTGGGGGATTAAGGGGTTTCAAATTTAAACAGCACAGTCAGGGTGGGCCTCAATGAGACATTTGAACAACAACAACAAAAATTTTTTTTTTGAGACATTGGGTATTTGAGCAAAGAATTGAAGAGAGGCAGGTGACCCAGAAGTGTGGGTTAGGGGCAGTGGGAATGTGCCCATGTGTTGCGGGATTGGTAGGGGCAGGGGGAGGAGTAGGTGATGGCGGGAGACAGCCTTGTGGGCCATTCATACAGGCCTTATGCGCTGCTGGAGACCTTGGGCTCTAACTCTGGGAGATACAGGGAGCACCCAGCAGACAGGGGAGGGCTTTGAGCAGAGGAGGGACAAAATCTGAGCACAGGATAAAAACGTCCCCCCAAAATCTGAGCACAGGATAAAAACGCCTTGGGGAGAAGGAACAGGAAAATGGTGGGAGGGAGAGGCTGTGGTAGTGATGGGGCGGGTGGAGCTCCTTCGTCAAGTAAGGAGAAGAGCGGAACCTGCCTCTCAGGTTGCTGAGGTAAGGCGTAGCCACTGTGCACCCCACCAGCCCGTGCACCCCGCCAGGCGCCGTGGCAACGAGAAGCCCACAGGCACGGGTGAGGTGAATGTGTTTGTTGGAAGAGCTCAGGTTCTCAAGTCCCTTCCCCACTCCTAAGGTTCTGGAAAAGCCTGAGGATGTCATGTGCCCTTGGATGGATGACGAAGGTGTGCGTAAACAGCTCGTTTTGTCATCTGTAAGTTGGAGAAGATACCTCCTCTCCCTTCCACACGAGGCAGCTGGGCTAAGGACTGGAATGAGTATGCATGAACACTCTGGCTGGCCCTGTGAGGCATTCGGCTGTGGCCGGCACCTCGTACACACCCACTGGGGACAGGGCTTTTCCTGGATCCTTACGGCTTACAGGAAGATCAGGGGTGGGAGTACTAGAACAGACCAGGGCAGAACTGTGGTCTGGAGGCTGTGGCCATTCCAGGGATTAGGTTGCACACTCAAACTTCCAGTTCTTTGTTTACTGATTAGTAGGGCAAAGCCTACACTTGGGTATGCTGCCACCAAGTGCTGGTTGGTGCTTCTGTCATATGCTGGTGCTCCACAGATGTGTCTCACCAGAGAAAAACAGACTTCCTTTTATCAAAACTGTAACTTTAAACAATGTCCATGAACATTATACTTTAGAAGAATCAAATAGAAAATTCATCTAGGGCAAATAAATAAATAGGATACTTAGGTATGGCTCTTGCCAGTGCTTAATGACCAGCAATTTGATTAAGGCAGGGTCTTTTCCCCGGCTTTGCTGTTGTTCCAGGATAAAAAGAGTTGTCACTTTTCTTTTATGATTATAAAGGTGATACATGAAATGTATTGCTGACTCAAAAAGGCTACACCTCTTACAATTAAAATTATAATGCAAAAATTTCCTCCCCAGACATTGGGTAAACACGCATGCCTTTTTAAAAGGCATCTAGGGGCGCCTGGGTGGCTCAGTTGGTTGAGCATCTGCCTTTGGCTCAGGTCGTGATCCCAGGGCCCTGGGATCGAGTCCCACATGAGCCTCCCTGCTCTGTGGGGGGCCTGCTTCTCCCTCTGCCTCTGTCTCTCATGAATAAATAAATAAAATCTTTAAAAAAAAAAAGCCATCTAGAACTCTGTCCTCAAGTTACAATCCATTTATTTAGCCTCCAGAAACTCTCCCTTCAACAGCAGGTTTCACAGCTGACAGGATTTGGTATTTCAATTTCCCGATTCTCTCTCGTGAATATATACATATTCACAGTTATATATAGCTACAGCTCTATAATCTTTCCAGTTTTCTTCCAAAGGTATTCCCTAAAGATTTTACTTCCTTAAGAGCACGCTTTCATCCTTTCAATGAGACAAATGAAAATACTGCCTGTCACTCACTAGGCCCCTGCACTTGTCTTTAAAAGCCCTCTGCCCCTCCTCCCCCCAATCTAGATTTCTAGCTGTAGGCAATTATTATTTTTTTGAGATTTTTATTTATTATTTATTTTAGAGAGAGAGCAAGAGAGAGAACATGCGAGGTGGGGGGGGGCAGAGGAGGAGGGAGAAGGAAAGAATCTCAAGCAGACTATGTGCTGAGATCATGACAGGAACCCAAACCAATTGTCCATGCTTACCTGACTGAACCACTTAGGCGCCCCCAAGCAATTATTATTCAAAAGTTAAATACAGGGTCGCCTGGGTGGCTCAGTCGGTTAAGTGTCTGCCTTGGGTGCAGGTCATGATCCCAGGGTCCTGGGATCAAGTCCCGCATCGGGCTCCTTGCTCAGCGGGGAGTCTGCTTCTCCCTCTGCCTGCCGCTCCCCCTGCTTGTGCTCTCTCTCTCTCTCTCTGACAAATAAATGAGTAAAATCTTAAAAAAAAAAAAAAAAAGGAAGGTTAAATACAGTTACATCCTGGCCTACTATTTCACAGAGCTTCCAGTGTTTTTTTTTATTGATATCCATTATAATCCCACCCTGTGGCCCGTGGGAAGCTGCAACAGCTTGCGCAGGGCAGGGCTTTCATCCTGACATTTAAACAAGGATTTCAGTACTAGTGGTAGTCAGAAAGTAAAACAATCCAGATGTGCTTAAGGTAATGGTTTTAAGTTTCCCTCAAACCTACTCCAGAGCTAACAGTCGAATTGCAGTGATTTTCAAACTTTCATGACTAGGACTCTCACTAAGAAGTACACATGTACATATAAATATCTGGATTTGGGGGGCGCCTGGGTGACTCGGTTGGTTCAGCAAATGCCTTTGGCTCAGGTCATGATTCTGGAGTCCCAAGATGGAGTCCCACATCAGGCTCCTTGCACAGCAGGGAGTCTCCTTCTCCCTCTGACCCTCTCCCCTCTCATGCTCTCTCTCAACTCTCTCAAATTTTTTAATAAAATCTTTTAAAATAAATAAATAAATATCTGGATTTTCTGACAAACATGACTTACCTTTACTCCATGGGTAAAGGCAGCGATATTGTCTAGTGTCTTCATTCCACGTAATATTTTTTGCTAATGCTGCTAGGTTGAACCATATGAAACTGACATCTTTGTAGTCATAACGGTAAAATATGGGCGATTTCATATGGTTCAACTAATTTGTGACACTAAAGTAGTTTCACATTCTGCTTAATGGGCTGCATCCCGCAGGAAAACATTGTTTCATGGGTCATTGTTTTTACTGTTATTTTTAATATTAAAATGGCATTGAAAATGTTTTTTTCTTTTCTTTTTTTAAGATTTCATTTATTTATTTACTTGAGAGAGCAAGAATGAGAGAGAGAGAGAGAGAGATCACATGAGAGGGGTAAGGGTCAGAGGGAGAAGCAGACTCCCTGCTGAGCAGGGACCCCGACGTGGGGCCCGATCCCGGGACTCCAGGACCTTGACCTGAGCTGAAGGCAGTCGCCCAACCGACTGAGCCACCCAGGCGCCCCCCCCCCAATTTTTTTTTTCACTTAACATAGCATGACATCCTTCCATGCAGGTACATTATGCTTCATCTCGCCCTTCTCAAAATCTTCATGGGATCCACCACATAGGTGTACCCCAGCTTAGGTAACTGATCCCCACTGAAGGCACTTAGATTTTTTCCCCAATGTTTTGTTGTTCCAAACCCTGCCACAGTGAACTTCCTTGTCATAAATGTTCACATGCTGGTGCTGGGATTTCTGTCGCATAGACTCAGGAAGGCAGGATGGCAGGCATCATGTGGTCTTAGTTGTGTCTCAAAAGCCTCTGAATGAGTCAAGCTCACTTTCTTCCCTTGCGTGTGCTTGGTGGAGGGTAAACTGTACTGACCCGGGGGGCTCAGCCAGGCACCCTGTTCTGTCCAGCCCTCATCTCTCCACAACCTTCTTCTGCAGGACTGGAAGCTCAGGCTTGCTCCAGACTTCTCCCTCTCTAGACCAACACTATGGAGAGCCCCTAAGAAACAGGGCATTTTACTGTCAACCAGACCTGAGTTTCAACTGCTGCCCAAGCTCCTTTTAAATTCTCTGGACTTCACTGTCACATCTGCAAAAAGGCAACAAACCTCCCCAGGTTGGTGGGAGGATGAAGTAGAAAACGTGGAGTGCTTTATAAACAATTCACAGAAATCAGCCATTATCTTCGGCTGGTGAGGGACTGTTCTTTCCCAAGCAGTAGAAAGAGCCCTCTGTGTGTCGTCTACTCACATTTACCCTGGTAGTTGGCTGGGGGGTAGGACTCAATGTAAGACAGTAAGCTTAGCTCCCCCTTCTGAGTTTACAATTTACCTAGTCCCTGCCCTCATTTTCTTCACTTCTTCAGGACTTGAGCGCTGAGGTAAAGAACCAAACTCTTGGACAAAGTCATTCATTCAACAACAAATATTTATTGAGTACCTACTATATGCCAGACACGGTGTAAGCATCATGTGCACCTCAATATTCTCACTGGCAAAATGAAAAACAGTGCTTCTCAACGGAGAAACGATGGGCATCCCGAGCGGGACAATTCTTTGCGCGGGTCGGCCCCCTACCTTCAAAACGACAGGGACCGTACCTTGCAATTGGGACAACCCAAAAATGTCCCCGCACGTTTCGAAACGGCCCCTAGAGGGCATTTTCGCCCGCGATGAAGAATCTCCGGCCCACCCTCGACGAGTCCAGGAGACAGGGAAACGGGGAGGCCCTCTAACTGGCAGGTTGAGGATGATGCCGAGATCCACGACGAGCAGTATCTGGACCATGTTTCAGGGGAACGGGGCCCCGGAAGGAGCTTGTAAACCTCCTTGGGGCTCTGGATTTCGACTCCTGAGTCAGAACTCCTACTTCCTATGTAGCCAAGACACAACCGGGTTTCCGTTCCCAGCCGAGCCTAGGTTCCTGGGGAGGAAGGAATGGCGGTGCCCTCGTCCCCCAAACCCTCGGGAAGCGAAGGGTTAACGCTGGTGGCCCCGCAGAAGCCCCCCAGCGCCGCTAGAGGGACCATCTCAGCGGCACCTCCGGGCGGCTTCGCGGTCACGTGAGAGGAGGGCGGGACCAAACGAGAGGCCGGCCAATAGGCTGCGCTGTCGGTGGGCGTGATAGCCAATAGGAGCAGGGAGAGGGGTCCCGGGACTAGGAAGAAACGGCGGCCGGGAGGGGACTACAGGGACCATGGGGCTTCTGACCATTCTGAAGAAGATGAAGCAGAAAGAGCGGGAGCTGCGACTGCTCATGCTGTATCCTCCCGGACGCCGGAGCAGCGAGGGTAGCGGTGGGGGGGCTCCCCACCGGGCAGGCGGTGCCAGGCGCCCCCTACCGGGCGCGGGGTGCGCGGCCGGCGCGTACCAACTGCCCATTGTGCGTCACGCACGTGGGCCCTACCAATCGCGCCGGCGGGGGGCCGGGAGGAGGCCGTACCACCGGCTCGGGGCGGGGGGGGACTCCGTTTCCAAGGCCAAAGGTGAGGGCCTAAAGGCGCAGCGGCGGGCCCGGATGTCCCTATGTAGGGGGGGAGGGGGGCCCGGAGGCGACTCGGATGTCACCACCCGTCGGTCTGGCTCGAGCGTGAGGCCGCTGTCCTCCCTGCCTCTGACCTTCCTTCCCCCATCCGAGGGTGTCAGGCCCCGGCCCCGCCCTCAAGGTCGGAATCCCGGGGGCGTGCGGGCCCCGCCCTACGCTCCTAGGGGAGGCGGGTGTAGACCGCGCGGGGTGTTTTTCCCGTGTGTCGAATTTCTCGTTTGTGACCGCACGGCCGGTCGGTATCCCCCCCAACCGCGACTGACGGCTTGTAGGCCCGAGGGCCCCACGGACCCTCTGAGTCCCGTTAGCGGGCGCCTGCCCTCTTTCCCCCTTCTCTGTGCCAGGCCCGATCGGGACTCTGCGATCCCAGAGCTGGGTGGGTCTCACCCGGAGCTCCCCTAGCAGGGCAGAGAAGACATTTAAGTGCGCAGATAACTTTATAACATTCACATCATGTCTGTTTTAAAGAGCTCAGAGAAAGGCACAGAGAATTCACGCACCCAATTAAATATGTATTGAGTGCCTACTCTGTGCTCGGCACTGTCCTAGGGGCTGGTGTAAAACAGCAAAACAGATCCTTAACCGTCATGGACGGTCTATAGTGCTGTGGGGAGAAAGATATTAACAAAGCAAATAGGTGAAAGGTATAGGATGCATGAAGAATTCAGTTTAAACAAGATCAAAGAAGGCCACAATGAGAAAGTGACAGTTGAGTAAAGACTAGGAGGTGAGGGATGAACCATGTAGATACCTGGGGAAATTTGTTTAAGCAAAAGGAACAGCAAGTGCAAGGTCTGGAAGGAGGAACTCAGCTGGTGTGTTAAAGGAATGTCAAGGAGGGCCGTGTGGCTGGAGAGAGTGTGCAAGGAGATTAGGACAGAGCGGGAACAGAAGAGCCAGTTCATGTAGGGCCTTTTGGTTCTTGGCTTTTCCTTTAAATGACAATTGCCGAGGGGAAGCGGGATCAGAGATTAGTTGCCGCACCACAGGCGAGATGGGATGGTGGCTTGGACCGGGATGGAAGCAGTGGGGTGATGGAAGTTGGGGGACATTCTGACCAGAGGCCCAGCAGGTGTCGCTGCTGGATTGGACTCGAGTGTGAGAGGGAGAGTGAAGTCAAGCCTGACTTCTAGGTTTCTGGCCTGAGCAGTGCAAAGAATGAGGAACCACTTGCTGAGTTGGGGCAAGGGGCAGGGAGCAGGTTCAGAAAGATGGGAGCTCAGCGTTTGGCCATGCAAGATGCCTCTGGGACATCCTGTAAGTGGCAGATGGGCAGCTGCATAGAGGGACTGAGTCCAGAGGAGGTGGGATGTGTACATTTGGAGTCATCAGCATAAAGATGGTATTTGAAGCCTGATCCTGGGTGAGAGCACTAAGGGATGAGTGTGGACGGAGGAGAACTGAGGCGTACCTGGGTAAGAGGTCAGGGCGATGGGAACCAGGTAAGGGAGTGGAGGAAGGGGCAGGCCACTCCGTCAGGTGCTTCTGATGGAGAGGAAGCCGGGGGGCTGAGGACTGCGCAGCCAGAGCACAATGTGAGGTCTTTAGAGACCTTGGCAAGAGAAGGTTCAGGGAAGCAGTGGGAGCAAAAGTCTCTGGGTTCAGGAAACAGCAGGATGGAAATGGGAGAGGGTGAGTATGGACAGAGGTTTTGAGGAGGTTTGCTATAAAGGGATCAAGAGAGGGTGTGGTTTGCTTCTCCTAAGGTGAGAGAGACACCGGCTTGCAGCTGATGGGAATGATCCAGTGGATGATGGGGTTCGGAGGTGGGGGGGTATATTGGAGGCAAAGTCTGGGTCTCCGGAGAGCTTTTGTCATCCTCATTCCACTGGTTTGAGTCACCTGGGCCCCCTCCCAGCTGCAAGCCCTCTTAAGTGTTAGAAGGATGGGATTGGGGGGAGGGGGTTCTTTCCAGCTGCTGAACTCCCCCTCACTTCGCAGCAAAGGGTTTGGAACATTCCAGAAAAAGAAAGGTGAGGGTGGCTACCTCCAGTTTGGGCCTCAGCTCGAGACTCAGAGAGAGTTTGGGCCTCAGCTCGAGACTCAGAGAGAGTTGCCCGAGCTAAAGAGAGCTGCTGTGGAGGCCCCCCTCCGAAACCTTCTTAGCTGTATTTCTTACACTCCCCAGGAGCTGATGGTGCCTTGTTTCCCATTTGTTTGCGCTCTATCGATTGTCTCCGCGCTAGAATAGGAGTTGCACAACGGTGGGGACTTCGGCTCTGGGGTACCCCCAGCCCCAGAAGAGGGCCTGGCACATAGTAAGCGTTCAATAAATATTGTAGCGTAAACTAAGGGACCTTTGGTTAGGTAGAGATGAGCACTCTCGGTCCTTTCCCATTTAGCGTGGGCCGGTAAATTGTGTGTCAGGCATGTGCTCAACTAATGTGCTATCTGGTGGGAAATGACTCATCCCCTAAAAGAGGGGCACTGGGATGATGTCACCATCCTGCAGAGCACGGGGACTTCTCCTTAACCTGCCTTGCTCCAGCGGCCTGGACAACGCTGGCAAAACCACCATCCTCAAGAAGTTCAATGGGGAAGACATTGACACCATCTCCCCGACGCTGGGCTTCAACATCAAGACCCTGGAGCACCGAGGGTAAGCGGGGACCCTGTGGTGGGCTGGCCCCGGCGTAGGGCAGGGAGCGCGGGTGAGGGGCCAGGCTGACCCTCTTCGCCACCCCCCTTCCCGCCCAGATTCAAGCTGAACATCTGGGATGTGGGCGGCCAGAAGTCCCTGCGGTCCTACTGGCGGAACTACTTCGAGAGCACGGACGGCCTCATCTGGGTGGTGGACAGTGCTGACCGTCAGCGCATGCAGGACTGCCAACGGGAACTCCAGAGCCTGTTGGTGGAGGAGGTGGGCAGGGCGCCGGGCTAAGCAGGGGAAGCCAGCCTTCCAACAGCATCCGGGCCCCGAAACTTGGTGCCCATGCGTGGATGTGTGAACACCTTCCTCAGCGGATCCCCTTAGGGGCACCTAGGGCGGGGTCTCCTTCTCCACAGAGCCTCACCAGGTGCCCAGCACCCTTGGGGAGTCAGAGACCACCTGTACGCTTGGTCCCAGGGAGCCCCACAGTGCTGTGGGCAGGACGTGCTATGAACTGAGACCTGGGTTCATGTCCCTTAGATGTCACTGCTCTTCAGCACCCTGAGCCTTAGGTTCTGCACCTTGAATGGGGCTTTAGGGAGGATGGCTCGAGGCCAGTGTGTGAAGCTCTGGGAGGCAGTGGATCCTGGCTCAGGAGTTGGACTCTTTGCTGTGTGACCGCAGGCAAGACGCTTAACCTCTCTGAACCTCCACTTCCTCATTTCTAAGATGGGCATTAGAATTAGGGTGATCTTATAACTTATTATCTGGCCCCAAACACTTTCCTTTAAATAAAATTTTAGATTTACAGAAAAGTTGCAAAGATAGTGAAGAGATACCCCATATACTTTTCATCCTGCTTCCCCTAATGGTAACATCATACGTAACCACTGTGCGTTTGTCAAAACTAAGAAATGAACATTGGCAAGTTACTCTTAACTACAGATTCTTTTTAGGTTTCACCAGTTTTTCCATTACTGTCCTTTTTCTGTTCCAGGTTTTGATCTGGGTTACTACACTTGCATCTAGTTGAAAATCAGGTCACTTTTAAGAACAAAAGGGGGACTTGTTAATAATTACACGGGGACAACAGACATAAACAGGACTGTTCTGAGCACACAGGGGCGCGGTCGTCGGGTCTAGCACTAGCCACCTCCAGGGGGTGCCAAGCAGGTCCAGTGAGGTCATGGCTGTCCATGCTCAGCCCTGGCCTGGCACCCCGAGGCCCTTCATCAGGCCCAGATCCACCTACCTACCTGGAGGGACTCCCGGTCAGGAACACATGTGGAAGTAACTGGAAGCCAAGGCAGAGAGTGAGGCCCGATAGTGAACAGTGAAAGTGCTACATGACCTTGGAAGAGGGAAAGGTCACTCCCAGCAGACCCTATGGCCCCGGGACGGACGATTGCATTCTTTGTACAGGTCGGGTCATCACATGGGACAGTCTAGAACCAGAGGGCTCAGGAATCATCTTATCCCTCACCCCCTCCCCATTCATGGAGGAAGAAACTGAGGCATGGAGAAGAGAGGTGCCCGCTGGGCCCCAGCCTAGGGCTCGCTCCCTGCCACCCGCCCTGCCCCCATGTATGGCTGGACTCACAGGCCATGTCCACACTGCCTACCCCACTTGGGCCTCTTATACCACCCCGGGGCCTTGCCCTGATTTTCCAGGTTGATCTCTGACCCCACCTGATCTGGGTGATTAGAGGAGGGGCCGGGCTGCCCTCTGAGCCCCCACGCCCCCCACCATTTCTCTCCCCCAGCGCCTGGCTGGAGCCACCCTCCTCATCTTTGCCAACAAGCAAGACCTGCCCGGAGCACTGTCCTCTAACGCCATCCGTGAGGTGAGTCCGGGCCTTAGCATAAGCCCATGGAGGGAAAGGCGCACGCGTTTCTTGGTTCACTTATTTTAAAAAGCATGTGTTAGCTCCTCTTGTGTGGCAGGACCTATGGCGGACACTGGAGATTGATGGATAAGGGCTAGTTGTGCCCCACAGGCCGGGGGAAGGCAGACGTGCAAACGTTACCCTACAGGATAACAGCAGCCAGCCGGTAGTGAGCATGGATGGTGAGCGTGGATGAGCCCATCCAGTTCTCACCCCAGCCTCCTGAGGGAGGAGCCATTACGATCGTCCCGCAGATGGCCAAGCAGGTTTAGAGAAGTGAGGTCACTCGGCCAGTGAGCAGACAAGTCAGGATTTCAGGGCAGGCCTGTGGGACCCCAAATTGTATCCTGCCTCCTACTTGGGAGGCAGGATTGTTGTTCTCCTCAGTAAACTGGCCAGCAATCCCTGGCTCCCTGGGCCTTGGGAGGAATGGATGGGAGGACGATTGTGGGGCACAGAGCACAACAGATGCTCAGGAGCCCACGTTGCTATGCTGTTACTAAGGGGGGTGTGGTGGTGTACCCGGAGCCCAGGTGCCCCGAGGAGCTGACAGATCTTCAGGGAGACTTCCCCAGGGGACTTCTGAGGGCCCTGGAGGGAGGCACGGATTTCCCCTGGGCCGGGAGGGGGAAGGGGCTGTGAGTGGCAGGGCCCGCGGTCACCGGGGCCCACCCCCCTCTTCCGCCCTCCCAGGCCCTGGAGCTGGACTCCATCCATAGCCACCACTGGTGCATCCAGGGCTGTAGCGCCGTCACCGGGGAGAACCTGCTACTCGGCATTGACTGGCTCCTGGATGACATTTCCAGCCGCATCTTCACGGCCGACTGAAGCACTCCGGGTGCCCCCCACCTCACAGTCCAGCCCCGCCCCTGCCCCCAGCCCTCATCAGGCACCATCCATGGGGGAATGCGAGTCAGCCAGCCTGGCGAACACCCCCGACCCCACGCCGAAAGCTGCCGCTCTGTGGCCCGCCGGCTCCCGTGGCTGGAGGGCTGCCGCCCTGGCTCCCGACGCAGCCCGCCCGCAGCCGCCGTCCGGAGAGGAGGGAGAGGAGAGGGCTGGGCCCGGGAGGGGGCTGCCTCTGCTGCTACCAAGGCTGTGGGCCTCATCCTTTGCTCAGCCGTGAGAATAAACCGTTCCTTGCCCCAGTTCCTGGTGGAGTCATTTGTTGCTTCCACAGCTCTCCGAGACCCGCCCCCGGGAGCCCGCAGGGTAGCAGGGCACCGAAAGGGACAGATCGTTCCAGTCAGAGGGTTCACTGCTGCTGTGTCAGGGACACACGAAGCGTTACAGAAGCACGGGACAGGGCTGCAACTAACTCCATTTGGAAGAGTCCAGGCAGGCTTCCCGGAGGAAGTGACATTGACGTTGGGTGGGAAGGCTAAGTAGAAGTTCTCTGTGTAGAGGAAGGGGGTGGACAGTTTACCAAAACAGTAAATAAGAAGAAGGGACACAGCTCCACATCAGGGCTCATGATTTGCTGAAGGGAATATGGGCTGAATTTCAGCTCCCAACTCCCCACCGTAGCCAGGAACCCACAGGCCGCGGGCAGCGCTGGCTCAAGCAGTGGGACCCATGTGACCGAGAAATGAAGCTCAAGGGCTCCTGGGAAGTGGGGAAGGGAGAGGACTCGGGTGTAGGGACGTGATCGTCAAGCAGGGCTTGCTAACCGAGCAGAGCAGGGAAGGGTCCTTTTCTGAAGACTAAGGCGCTCTCTGAAGCAGGGTTGCCCCGCAGGTGACCCGACAGATGGGTGTTTTCACAGGGCCCCCTGCTCTGGTCTTACCTGGGGCTGCTTACTCCGTTGGGTTCTGTTCGAAGCACTCCCCGGTATCATCACATTGAAGAACAGCCCTAAACAGTACAGACTTTCCAGATCCCGTCTATAGGGGAACTGAGCCTCCGGGAGGGAGGTTACGTGACTTGCTCAAAGCCACCCAGCTAGGAAGTAGGGAAGCTGGGATTTGGACCCAGCACATGTAACCACTACGCCATACTATTCTAGGTTTTTGTCTCTGCTCAAAGCTCAGCTGGCAGAGAGAGGAGGCCTGATGTGTCTAATGAGCAAAGAGTAGTTTTCCCAAGGAAAAGGTGAGGAAGAGCCACCGAGATTTGCTCCTAAACTGGCACCAGGATCCCTTCCTGGAGAGGTACAGATGTGTGCAAAATCTGGGCTCTGTTAAGATAGAAGAAGGGAAATTGATGTTGGGTAAACAACCTTAGAACATAAACTGTCCTTTAGGGTGGAAAATTAAAACCCCCTGCCCTGTCCTCTGTGCAAGACAGACATTGTCATCCCCGTGCTACCCAAGCCCTGTGGTGAGTGAACAGACCCAGGCTCCCGAGCCAAAGCCCGGCCCTGCCACTCACTGGATGAGGCTTAACAAGTGCCTCGCGTGTTTGTGCCTCAGTGTCGTCCTCTGGGGAAAGATAAGGCACCCACCTGCTAAGGGCGGGACCAAATGGGTGGGTGTCTTGTGTGTCATTGTATAATGTTAGCCATCTTGTTCAGTATTTGAACCGGTAGGAGCTCAAGCAGATCCAACCAACGGGAACTCAGCCATCTACTGATCTGGATGAGCGACCCCAGGGGTCAAGTCCTCCTGGGGGCCCTTAGCAGCATCCTTGATTTAAAAGAGTGAATTCTGCATGGTTGGAGACAAGGAAATAGCAAGGTTATATTCATTACCAAGGCTTGTGGATGGGGGATCTGAGCTGTGGCAGCAAGTCTGCATCCTGTGGTCAACCCAGTGGGGGTGGGAATGTGGGGGGCCGGACTGGCAGCTGTGCATTTGCAGCTTTCCTCTCTCCTCCTTACGGCTAAGAGGGCTCTTCTGTTTGCTTCTCCTGATGATGGAAATAGTGGAGTTGGAGTCTGAAGGCCGGGGGACAAACTGATCTAGGTAGGAATGGGCTTGGAGGGGACAGGGCGAAAGAAGAGGAAATGGAGAGAATTGGGAGCAGGATCAGGGAGGGGAGGGAATGATGGACAAGAAGAAGACTTGGAGCCAGTCCTGCCGGGAGAGCTTGAGAGAGCAGAAGTGATGTCTAAAAGGGGTCTCTAGAGGTGCGTGTTGTTCAAGGGGCCGCCACCCCATCTAAGCCTCCTCCCAAACACCTCCTGGATAATCTACCCTGTGTCTGAGCCTCCATGAGTCTCATTTGGGACTTGGCTTTGTCTCTTTCTGGAAACTGGCCATACAGTGTCCACTATAAGAGCGGCCACTTCACCCACACTACCAGTTTGAAGCTTCACAACCTGGTCATTGTGGTATCGGTCAGGGTCCTCGAAGGCCTGCCCCAGACATGGATCACAACTGCCTTCAGCAGAAAGGATGGTTCTTGGAAGGATACTAAGAACTCAGAATCCCGATGAAGGTCTCAGGATGCCGGACATCAGGTTTGGAAAAAAGAGTGCCCAGAGGCTGGGCAGCTCAATCCACAGCCAACACCGCACATCAGGAACAAACTAGTGCCCTTGCCAGGCACTGTGCCCTCTGTCCCTCACTCAAGAAACTCAAGATTCAAGCTTCAGGAGAGACTCCCCCCCCCCCCCCATCCAGGACGGGGCAAGGAAAGGAGCTGGCACCTTTGGATTCTGGGTAGGAGGCTGAAGGGCTACCCCTAGGGAGAACTACCACCAAACAAAGATATGGTGCTAACGGATAGGTGGGGCTGAATGCTGGACAGACCAAGCAGGGAAAAAAAGAATCATCCTCTGCCGTAGATTCTATTATAAACATCCCTTATTATAAACACTATAAACATGCTAGAGATGAGAAACTTGGGCTCCAGTAGTTAACAGAAACTCATACAGCTGGTAAGAAGTGTGATTCAGAACCTATGAAGCCATCCTGCTTCTCTGGAGTTCTTTTTTGCTTCCCCTACCCTTGCAGAAAATATGAACTATCGAATCCTATGGAGGGAGACAGGGAAATGATTTGGCTACATCTGGCACGCACTGGACACAATAAAAGTTGGGTAGGTAGATAAAAGAAGGGAACTGGGAAGCAGAGGAGAAGTCGTTTGGACACGTTGGATGGGGCGGGCTTGAACACTGGTCAGAGCTGAGTGATCCAACCTCCCCAGTCCTTAACTCTTGAAAATCACCTAGTTCACGCTTTACCAGCCACTGAGAACTTTTTAGACGCTCCCTGGCCGCAAGCCGAGGCCGAGAACTGCACCGTCACTTGCTACCGGCTCCCTGGGCCCGGGGAAGGAGGACGCAGGCCACGGACAGGCGGTGGCTGGCGGGGACTGACCCGGAGGGGCGGGGGCGGCGTGGAGAAGGCGGAGGCCGGCCGGCAGCTCCACTCCGGCTCGGCTGCCATGTCCCGCCAGGCGAAGGACGACTTCCTGCGGCAGTACACAGTCTCCGACCCCCGGACCCACCCCAAGGGCTACACCGAGTATAAAGTGACCGCGCAGGTGAGGTGGGGCCCGATGGGGACCTTTACCCTTTTAACAAGGGGGGGGGCAGTGTTTTACTTTAAGGCAAGGCACGGCTGGACGCTCCCTTTTTAGACGACAGAAATGCATTTCCCCTTTAAGGGGAGGCTGCGGTAAGAGACTTCCTTTACATCTTTAGCCATCAGGGGGTGCGGCCCTGGGAGGGCGCTGTCCTTTTAAAAGGGCGTGGACGGCAGTTCTCTGAGTGGGAGGGGTGGGTTCCCACGCCCAACGTGCGGTGTCTGCACATCTGGCTGTGAATTTCTTTAAATTAACACGAAAACTCTGGCTCATCCCAAATATTAGTTAGTTCTCCAATCTCTTGGAGTGAGTTGTGTTAACTGGTTTGTTTGATATTTACATAAAAGCCCTTTTTAAGAGTTTAATTTTTAATTTTCAAAAAAATACCTGTGACTTTAAAAATTCATACAGCTCGAGAATTTTCAAGAGTAAGTCTCTATCTTCACAGTCCCAGCAGGAAGTCAATAGGGAAAGACTAAAGTTGATTCCGAAGCAGTAACAACTTTATAAGCAGATTTTACAGATACATAGGGGAAACCATGAGAAGAATTTAAAAATAGAAACCGTATAAAAGACTATCTGTAGAATGATATCCGAGAACTGGTTGGGAGAAGACTTTTCACTGTAAATTGTTTTGTACCTTTAGCATTTTAAACTAGGCAACTGTTAAACTGGTGCATTTGTAACTATTAAAGGGAAGCAAAAACACAAAGGCACTTCCAAAGTGTATACCTCTGCGCAGGCAGTGCTCAGATCAGGGTATAGACATTTCCTTCACCCCAGAGACTTTCCTGGTATCTTTCCAATCCATAGTTCTCCTCCCACAGAGGTAACCACTGTCTGACTTCTGTCACTGTAGATTAGTTTTGTCTGTTCTTGAACCTCATCCGAATGAAATCATTACACAGCAAGTACTCACTTGTGTCTGGCCTTTTTCACTCTCTATGTAATGTTTTTGGAATTCATGTTGTTGCATGTATAAGTAGTTTGTTCTTTTTTATTGCCATGTGATAGGAGTCCCTTGTAGAAATATACCACCATTTCTTTATTCATTCTCCTGTTGTTGGACATTTGGGTTGTGTCTAAAAAAACTTTAGTTGTAACGAGTAGAGTTGTATGAACATTCATGTACAAGTCTTTTTATGGACGTGTGCACCCATTTTTTTCTTGGTATGTACCTAAGAGTGGAATTGCTGGATCATTTGATAGCTACATGTGTAGTTGTCCTAGAAATTACCAGTTTCCAGGGCACTGTTTGCTGTTGGTCCTAACTGAAACTGACAAAATATTTAAAAGAATGTTTAAGTAGCTCTGTGGTTGGAAGTTGGCCAGGTTCGTGGCTGATATTCACAGCCTGATAAGAACTTGTGGGGTTGTTTGTTTGTTTGTTTGTTTGTTTTGGCCTTTATCCCTATGCTAAATGTACCCAAAGGGACAGAAAAACCTTTCAACATAGATGGATGTGTCAGTCTTTTGATATCTTGTAGGTGGCAATCCAATTCCCTGAGGAATTAAAAACAGCTGTCCTTGTTTTAC